CAGAAATGTGCTGACGTCCTTTGAGTCTCTTATATGCCTCCACCTTCCTTCTTTGCATCAAAAGGACATGAAAGTTTCCATGTCAGTAATAGCAGAGTGGCTTGCCCTCCCACAGATAACAATTATGTATAAACTCTGGACGAAACATTTAAAAAACAACTGTTTGAAGGCACTGCAGAGCAACCAAATGCAGTCAGGGACTGCAAAGGGGAGTTTTCTTGTGTAAGATCCACATTTTTACAGCTTTTCCCCAGTGGGCACTTCCCAGTTCGTGTGGCACAGGGTAGCTAGGACTTAAGCAGAAAGCTTGTGATGAGTGCAGAGTTTAGGACTGCTAGAGCAGCCAGAAAAGTAGGAGGCAAATCGCAGAAAAGAGGGATTCAACAAGGAGGGACCCCGTAAAGTCTGTTTATAAATTTCCCTGAAGTTTTTTTGACCCCCAAATTGTGAATTCACAAGAGTATAAAATGCAACAGAAACCAGTAGGTGGAATGGGTGACAAGACAGCAGAGATGTCAGCTGCTCTTCATTACGGCAGGGCTAGACTTCAGAGTTTGAATCCAGTCCTACTGTGGTACAGGGGATCACTGAACACCTTGGGCATTCCAGTGAAACTTCAGAAGGGCCATGCCTTGGGAGTAGAAACGGTGTCCTAGGACTAAGGGCAAATCCAAAAACCCAAATAGACCCACCCTTACAACGTGTAAAACCAATCTCAGGATGAGTCACCAGTAGCTTAATACTCTGCAGAGAAGATTTTAAAAAACCAAGCATCTACAGTGCATCATCCGCACTGTCCAGTGTACAGTCAGTGCTACTACACATATGAAGAAACAGGAAGGTGTGACCCAGTGAGCAGAAGCAAACCCTAAAGTGACCCTTTTCTTGGAATTTGCAGACACAGAATTTAAAGCACATATTTTACATATGTTCAGAGATTTAAAGAAAAATAGGCCAGGCACAGTGGCTCACGCCTGTAATCCCAGCACTTTGGGAGGCCACGACAGGCATATTGTTTGAGTCAAGGAGTTCCAAACCAGCCTGGACAACATGGTGAAAGCCCATCTCTTAAGGGGAGAAAAAAAAAAAAAGGAAGTGTTAATGACTTAACTGCAAATGGGCAGTCTCACACAGAATGGTAATAAAGAATCACATGAAAATGCTGAAACTGAAAGCTGCAGTATCTAAGATGAAACATCCACTGGAGGGTGATAGAACAAATTCATCAGAAGAATAGGAAAAAAGTAGAAAAATGTGGACAGAGTCTCAGTATTATAGGGACAAATTCAAACAGCCTAACATATGTGTAATTGGAGAACCAGGAGGAGCAAAGAGAGAGAGAGGAACAGAAAAAAAAGATTTCAAGAAATAATGGCTGAAAATTTCCCGAATTTGGTGAAATATATCAACTCACAAATTCAAGAAGTTCAACAAATCTCTAAGTACAAAGAAAACCATATCTAAGTAAGTCATAGTCAAACTGCTGAAAAGCAAAGGTAAAGAGAAAATCTTGAATGCAGCCAGAAGTAAAAGACACGTAAACAGGAGGAGAACAATATGACTGACTTTACACATGAACACTGGAGACCAGAAGCCAGAGGAACAGGATTGTTAAACTGCAGAAAGCAAAAACCTATCAATTTGCCAGACTTCGTTTTCAAATCTAAAGTCAAAGTAAGAACATTTTTAGAAAAACAAAAACAGAAATCAACAGCAGCGGTCCCAGAAAGCTTTTCACACTAAAGGAAAATGACAGTGCGTGGTAATTCAGATCCATAGGAAGAAATAGTAACCACTAGAAATGGCAAATAGAAACGTCTGTTTTTTCTTCTTAAATTATTCAAAAGTTAACTGACTAATTCAAAAATTATAACACTGGATTGTATAGTTTATAGCGTATGTAGATTTAGATTATTTGACAGTGGTAGTACAAAGAATGATAAGATAACAGAAATTAGACTTTTGCAAGTCTCTGATATTTTACATAAAGTGCTACATTTTAAACTCTAAGTAGACTGTAGAAAAACGTGCAGTAGTCCAGACACAGTGGCTCACACCTGTAATCCCAGCACTTTGAAAGGCCAAGACAGGTAGATTTGAGACCAGGAGTTCAAGACCAGCCTGTCCAACATGGCAAAACCCCGTATCTACTAAAAATACAAAAGTTAGCCAGGCATGGTGGCACTTACCTGTAGTCCCAGCTACTTGGGAGACTGAGGCACAAGAATTGCCTGAACCCGGAAGACAGAGGTTGCAGTGAGCCAAGATCACACCACTGCACTCCAGCCGAGGTGACAGAGCAAGACTGTCTCAAAAAAAAATAAAAATGTGCAGTATATATTATAGTTACAAAAACAACAACTTAAAAAATAATACAAGCAAGTACAGTTCAAAAGTCAGTAGAGAAGTTAATATACTAAAATTGAACACTAAGAAAAATTCAAGCAACACAAAACAGGAAAAGAAAGGAGGAGCAGGAATTTTTTAAAAAATGGAACAGATACAGGCCAGGCACGGTGGCTCACGCCTGTAATCCCAGCACTTTGGGAGGCCGAGGCGGGTGGATCACCTGAGGTCAGGAGTTCAAGACAAGCCTGACCAACAAGGAGAAACCACGCCTCTACTTTAAAAAAAAAAAAAACACACACACACACACACAAAATTAGCTGGACAGAGTGGCGCATGCCTGTAATCCCAGCTACTTGGGAGGCTGAGGCAGGAGAATCGCTTGAACCCAGGAGGCAGAGGCTGCAGTGAGCTGAGATCACGCCATTGCACTCCAGCCTGGGCAACAAGAGTGAAACTCCGTCTCAAAAAAAAAAAAAAAAGAAAAGAAAAGAAAGAGAAATGGAACAGATGTAAAACAAAATGATAGACCTAAATCCAAATATATTAGTGAATACATTAAATGTAAAGGAGCTGAACTGCTGAACCTTCCACTTAAAAGGCAAAGGTTGTCAAAAATCAGAACCCAACCATGTGCTGCTTATAAGAGGACTACTATAAATATAAAAACAAAGTTAGAAAATTATAGAATGTAAAAGGATATAGTATGCAAATAAAAAACAAAAGAAACCCATGTGGTTATATAATATCAATAAAATGGACATGAAAACAAAGTGGAAGAAGGACATGGTGAGAAGAATTATTGAGGAACTTTCTGTGTTGATAGAACTGTTTGACATCTTAGTGGATGGTACTCACACAGATGTATGCATTTGTCAGTTTATCAGATTGTACTGTGAAGATCTTTGCTTTTCTCTGTATGAGTTTTACCTTACGAATTTGAAGGAAGAAGGAAAACACGACCCTGTAAAGAACATTGCCAATATAAGTACATCAAAAATGAAAGCTAACACCATAACCTTTATTCCGTCTGTGCACTTCTGTCTCATTTTCTCTTGTGCTGTTGAAGTCAACCCAACACTTTATCTCTTTTTTACTCAGTAGTATAGTTTTCTTTTCTGTGGTGCTTTCTTGCTTATAACCTTTATTTTTGTTTTCTTCTCTCTAAAACTTAATGTCTCCTTTATTGGAAGTTAGTAGGCTTTCACCTCAGAGGCAGGGGTTTCTCACAAAGACTGGTAACAGTTTCTGTGTATGGACAGCGAGGTCTGACACTTAGTTTGACAGCTCCCCACACTCATGCAGTTCTTACTCATTTGTTCACCAATTTTTGATAACCTATAGCATGTCAGATGCTAGGCCCTGAGATAAAATGGCGTGCCCAGCAGACATGCTGACATCCCTCATGGAGCTTACAGTCACAACTTCACTTTCTTTGGTAAAACTCAAATTAATACAAAACTTTAAAAGCCAAAAGGTCAAACTCATTGGATAGGGAGTTCCAGAATCCATAGTTGTGTATGTGGTTTATGTATGTGCACCAAATGCTCGTCTGTGATCATTCCTGCCTGTGTTCAGGGGTAAACCACCATTAACAACAGGATGCAGATACAGTGTCATCAGGTCATAAGTAGGGGTCAGGCTTCAGAGTCAGGGTGTAAGACAAAAATTAAGTATAGGCAAAATTCTTGTCATTAAACATTGGCATCATATTCAGTGGGTGAGATGCTCACACAGGACGTGTGCCCAAGAACCGAGGTTGACTGGGGAAAGAACTTCGCAGCCTCCGTCTCACACTCATCGAAACAGCTCACCGAATCACGCTTGTTGTTCGGATGGTTATTCCTCTCCCTTCTCTTTCCTCCCTGTTGTGTGTCACGGGCGTGGAGGCCAGGGTGATGAGTGGGAAGAAGCTGTGTATACAGGGTTAGATTCATGTAAATGAAATGAGATCTGTACCCAGCATTTGGGAATTGCCACATGCATGGAGATATCAAAAAAGCAAGTCTCAAACTCATCCAAGTAGTGAATGTAAATGTGTACTCATTTCTGAAGGACAATCAGTGTTCACATTCCAGGGTTTTCTTTATGACACCCAAATGCAGCCACTTCTCTGGAGAACTATGTATAGCATTATTTTTATCTCCGTGATAGTTAGGGAAGCCAAAGTTTAAAGGACTATTGAACAAATGAATTTGGGAATTATAACACTGAGTTCAATTAAAAAGCCTTTTGAGCTGAAACAATTGTTTATAGCACCATATTTAAGTCCTATAAAACTGTATTCTAAACTATCTTCTGAGAGACATTTCAGTGTTACGTTGAAAGTTTTTGCCTTTGGTAATTACTGGTTCATTTGCTTTAAAGCAGCATGTCATTTTCTTTGGCTTAAGAGAAAGATTACTTTTTGTGCAGGGATAATGGGCTTGTAAGTCTAGTGTAAAACGTATTTAACCGATTCTCCCAATTTTCTTTATTTTCCCTCCTCTGCAGTTTCGTGCCTTAGCACCAATGTACTATCGAGGGTCGGCTGCAGCTATAATTGTTTATGATATCACAAAAGAAGTAAGACTATATAGCTTTCTTTAGATTGTTTTGAAAACTCTCTTTTGGTTGGTTAGATCTCCAATTGCTCTCCTTTTTTTGTGTTACAGGAGACATTTTCAACATTAAAGAATTGGGTGAAAGAGCTTCGACAGCATGGCCCACCTAATATTGTAGTTGCCATTGCAGGAAATAAGTGTGATCTTATCGATGTAAGGTAAGTGATTAGAGCAAGAGATTACAATACCTATTATGTGTTCCTTTTCTTAATGAGCAATATCCAGAATAAGAGTCTTGCTTTTATTTTGTCTCTGACATTGAAAAATTCCTTTTGGTTGTATGGTTGGAGTCCTAAAGTTTCAAACTAAAATTAAGATTTCAGGCATCTGGAGCTAATTATATTATATATATAGACAGGTGTGCAATTTACGGAAATACTGGTTGCTTTGCACCCGACATTATCTGAGATCAGAGCAGCCCCCAGGCTCCCATGACTTAGAATACTTGAACGCAGAAAGCACATTTATTGGCAGTTTCTCTGGGCCACTTCCATCATTCCCAGAGCAAGGGCTTTTTGAGAATTGTGGCTGGAGAAAAAACCCTGCCAACCCTAATCATTCCATTAGCTACATTACTAGTGGTACCGAGTTTTGTTTCATTTTGTTTGTTTACCCATGGATGTGAGGTAGTCAGGAAGACCGTGTCTCAGGGCCCAGCCAGCAGCCATTTAGGTCATCCTTTGTCCTCATAAATCTGGTTAACTACTGGGTAGGTGGGGGTACAACTAAGATCTTTGTGGGTAGAATTTCTGATACGTAGTTGTTGCCTTTCAGAGAAGTCATGGAGAGAGATGCAAAGGACTACGCCGAATCTATTCATGCAATTTTTGTAGAGACCAGCGCAAAAAACGCGATAAACATAAATGAACTCTTTATAGAAATTAGTGAGTATCTCTGTGCCTTATCCATTTCCTCTGTAAAAGCAACTTAACACAGAATGATCTTCCTAGTTAGAATTCCCATCTTACTTAGAGCAGTCTAGTCTCTGATACTGCGATCGGTGAAACGAGATTGGAGAAGGTAAGAGTAATGGCCGGTTTTCATATCATGTTACAGTTGCTGAAGAGCTGTTGCCCTTCTGGAAAGAATGTTGCTACTGAATAAATAATGCACAGGGTATTGAGGTCATGAAAGCAGTCCCGGCCGGGCGCGGTGGCTCACGCCTGTAATCCCAGCACTTTGGGAGGCCGAGGCGGGCGGATCACAAGGTCAGGAGATCGAGACCACGGTGAAACCCCGTCTCTACTAAAAATACAAAAAAAAATTAGCCGGGCGCGGTTGTGGGCGCCTGTAGTCCCAGCTACTCGGGAGGCTGAGGCAGGAGAATGGCGTGAACCCGGGAGGCGGAGCTTGCAATGAGCCGAGATCGCGCCACTGCACTCCAGCCTGGGCGACAGAGCGAGACTCCGTCTCAAAAAAAAAAAAAAAAAAAAAGAAAGCAGTCCCATTTCTTTCTCTATTTAAATTTTTTTTAATTTTTTCCATTAGTCGTCCAAGGTCATTGAAAATGAACAAAATGAATAAAGGAAAATGAAATGCAGGTATACTTGCACTGTAAGAAAACCCTCAAAAATAATACTAGACAAGTGAAAGGCAAGACCTGTTTTCCCTCTTTCCCTTCCCTTTCCAGAAGTGTTAATATGATGATACTAGACAGGAGAGGGGCTGCTGCATGCCTTTGGGATCCTCTGAAGATTGTATCTATGTTTATTCATTTCATTCAAATTCATCAAAATATTTATTGGGAGCTGTTCCAGGCTCAGGGGAAATAGCCATGAAGAAGATAGACGCAGCCCCTGCTCTCCTGGAGTGCACATTCTACAGAGGGAAACAGACAGTGAACACCAAATAAATAGGATCATTTCAGATCATAATAACTGATACGAAGAAAATAATTTAGGATGAAGCGAAGGAATGTCTGCAAGCAATCAGGGAAGGCCTCTCTAAGGAGATGCTATCAGAGCTGAGGTCCAAGGGAGCAGGCCCTGCAGAGGTATGGGGAGTCACATGAACTGAACATGTCAGACTTCCAGGTGGAGAAAAGCAGAACGCCGTGAGAGCAGGGTGGATGTAGCGTTAAGATCCACCATGTGGTTGAGAGCCAAGGGGACTGAAGCAGAGTGGGTCCTTTGCCATTGGGTCAAGGAGGGGCATGCACTCCAGAGCCCACCAAGGCCAGGCAAGGATGACCCATGAGCAGAGCAGGCCCAGGTGAAGCCCTGGGAACCCCACTAAGGCCAGGCCCAGCTCTATCAGCTGGGACCACACTGGAATGTGGGCCCCTGGTTGGTAAGGTTCTTTTCACATTTTTTTTTACGTGTCCCATTGTTTAGATCTGGCCAATCATTTAAGTATTTTCAGAGTCCTTTACAGGCCTAAGGAGCCCATCTGCTGCCAGATATGGCCAGTGAACTACTTACTGCACCCTCTAGGCCAGCGCCTTCATTTCAGTGTTAAAAAGTCATGATGTCCCTGGTCTTGGTGGTTGTCACTTATAATCCCAGCTACTCCAGAGGCTGAGGCAGGAGGATCACTTGAGGTCAGGAGTTTAAGACCACCCTGGGCAACAGTATAACCCTATGTCTTAAAAAATAATAAAATAAAAATACTAGGGCATTGTAGCATGCACCTGTAGTCCCAGCCACTTGGGAAGCCGAGGTGGGAGGATGGCTTGAGCCCAGGAATTTGAGGCTGCAATAAGCCATTGATTGCACCACTGCACTCCAGCTTAGGTGACAGAGCAAAACCCTCTCTCTTAAAAAAACAAAAATCATGTTTATTGTTGTCCTAGATGTAAATAGCAGGTACCCAGATGAATTTTTGAAAGGCAACATAAAACCAGTTGGGAATTTTTCACAGCTCAAGCTAAAATACCTAAGTGTGTGGTGTCATGAGTATGTTAAAATTACCGCTATCTTTTTGTGTTCTTTACTTTAGTGGTATTAAAAACAGGAAGGTAGGCCAGACATGGTGGCTCACACCTGTAATCCCAGCACTTCGGGAAGCCAACGTGGGTGGATTACCTGAGGTCAGGAGTTCGAGACCAGCCTGGCCAACATGGTGAAAACCCATCTCTACTAAAAATACAAAATTAGCTAGGTGTGGTGGTGCATGCCTGTAATCCCAGCTACTTGGGAGGCTGCGGCAGGAGAATCGCTTGAACCTAGGGGGTGGAGATTGCAGTGAGCCAAGATCACGCCATTACACTCCAGCCTGGGCAACAAAAGCAAGACTCCATCTCCAAAAAAAAAAAAAAAAAAAAAAAAACGAAGGTAGTAGTAAACCAACAATGAAATTCTCATATAAAAACTAGTATGTACATATTCATTTTAACTGTGAAAAATAAAACCTATATGTTCACAAAGATTAGAAAAATTGAGAGACATGTACATAGACTTTATTGTCCACTGGTTTAGTAAAACTGCATGAGCACAGTGCCTGGCACACTGACTTTGTATTGAAGTGTAGTAGACATACAGAAATGTGCACATATCAGAAGTACAAAGCTCAGTGAATTTTCACAAACTGAATATACTCCAGTGCTTGGCACTCTGGTTGGGACATGGCCATTTCTACACCCAAGGGTAACCGTCCTGATACTAATTCTCAGATTGGTTTATCTGGTTTTGTTTTACATATATTTTGTACTTTATATTTTTAAAAACATACTCGGTTTCCTCTGTGTATCTGGCTTCTTTCATTCTGCATTACATTTTTAGACCATCCATGTCATTGCATCTAGCTGTGAATGATCCATTCTCATGACTGGTTTGTGCGTGTCAGTGTCAGGGTCCAAGTTGTGGGGATAAGGGGGCAGTGAAGAATACCCACAGTATAATTATCCATTCTGCTGTTGCTAGACATTTGGGTAGCTGTTTCCAATTTAGAGTTATTACAAACAGTACTGCTCTAAACATTCTGATCATATTCTTTGGTGAACATCTGTACACATTTTTGTTAGGTGTATTTATACCCACAAGAAAAATTGCTGGTCGTTGAGTATGCATGCATTCAGTACAGCTTTACCGCCAACCAGTTTTCAAAGTGGTAGTTGTACTAGTTGACACCCACACCAGTAGTGTATGAGAAGTCCGGTCACTTTCTGTCTCTGGTGGGTAGGCAGTGATCTCCATTTTCATGACAGTTAATGAAGTTGAGCACATTTCCGAATATTGATTTACATTTGTCATATCTACATATCCTCCTTTGTGAAGGGCCTGTTAAGTCTTTTGCCTGTTTTCCTGTTGGGTTACCTGCCTTCTTCTTAATGTTTTATAGTTCTTTATTTTGGAGATGAGTCACTTATTGACTCTGTATATTGGAAATATCTTCTAATGTATGGCTTGCCTTTGTTTTCTTAGTCAACTCCTTCAATGGATTGAAGTTTTTAATCTTCATATAATCTAATTGATCCTTGTTTTCCTTTGTGTTTAGCTGCTTTCGGTTTTTTGGTTGCTGTTTTAGAAATCATTACCTAATCCCAGCTCATGAAAATAGTCTCCTCTTCTTTCTTTTAAAAATATTATTTGTTTAACAATTTTTTGATGTCATACTTCACAGATGTCTCTTAGATACCAGCTATATTTCAATATCCATTTATTGAGAATAATGACAAGAAGCTTGGGTAAAACTTTTAAACGAATTTGTAGTATATTCACAGCGGTGTCTAGTCATTTGAAAAGTAGTTACAAGACACTGGGAGATACTTTCTTAATATGGAAACCATGCTGTGTACTCCCCACACAGATCTGCAGACAGCTCAAAGTGGTGGAGGCTCAAGGCTTGACAGAACCTGAAAGTCAGTGGAGAGGCCATCTTAGCCTTGTTAATGCCAAAAAATGTGCATGTCCATTTATTCCATGTTTATAAAATACTTCTGTGTCAGGTATTGTGCTGATAAGGTACTGGAAACATAAAGATGGGCAAATAGGATCTCTTGCCTAGAAGAGCTTAGGATCTAATGCGAGGGAGATAGTCATGTAAACAGATATGAGATATGTGTTGTAACCTATTTCTGGTGTCCTGATTGATTGTAGTGTCTGAGATGTTAGAGAGTAAGGAAGTGGGAGAATGTCAGGAAAGCCTTTGTACAAGAAGCAACCCTTGAGTTATAAGCCAGGTAGGTAGGTAGGTGATTTAAGGATTCTCTCGAAATTGGCATTATGCTTCACGGAGCAGTGAAGTGAAACCTGTTCATTGTCATGCATTGTTGGTAGGAGAATGTAGTGGCACAGCCTCTTCAGAGAGTAATTTGGCAGCATCTGTCAAAATGTAAATTGCACATTCTTCCTGCGTTTACGCTGGATAGACACTGGAATACAACGTATGTGTCAGACAAACGCCCAGGAGTAGAATGCCGTGACCTGGCTCTTCTGCTCCTGGCATTAATCCTGCACATACACTCGTAAGCTGACAGAGATGCTTCTTGCATCTTTGTTAATAACATCAAAATGTTGGAAACAAACTAAACATCCATCAGTAGAGAAATGGTTAAATGAATGGTGGTCCATCTGCAAATGCAGTATTGTAGAGCTGTTAAAAAGAAGGCAGCAGGCCAGGCACAGTGGCTCACACCAGTAATCCCAGCACTTTGGGAGGCTAAGGCAGGCAGATTGCTTGAAGTCAGGAGTTCGAGACCAGCCTGGCCAACATGGCGAAACCCCGTCTCTACTAAAAATATAAAAATTAGCCGGGCATGGTGGTACATGCCTGTAGTCCCAGCTACTTGGGAGGCTGAGGTGGGAGAATCGCTTGAACCTAGGAAGCTTAGGCTGCAGTGAGCCAGATTATGCCACTACACTCCAGCCTAGGTGACAGAGCAGGTAAGCCTGTCTCAAAAAAAAAAAAGTAGGCAGCTCTTTCTCCATGTACTATGATGCCACAATCCCCAGGATGTGTTGAGTCAAAGTATCGTGGTGGAGAATGGTGCCTACGGTTTGCTTTATTTCTTGCCCCATTTGGCCTTGGAAAGGGGAGATGGGTAGGGATGTAGGTGTGCCTGAGTGTTTGTGCATATATGTCTCTGGAAGCCTGTACGAGAAATGGGCCACAGTGGTGGCCTTGTTATGAGACAGAGGGACAGCCATGTTCTGATTGAACTTTTTAAAAATAAATCGTATGTATTACCTACTCAAAACAAAATGTTTTTAATGTGTGGCTTTTTTTAATCAAAAAGCTTTTATTAAGTGCTGTGTGATATCCTTGTTTGGATCCTGGGGCAGAAACACGACATGCGGAAAAACTGATGCTATCTGAAAAAAGTCTGGAGTTAATAGTGATGTGGCAATGTTGAACTCTTCATTTTGACAAATGTCCCATGGTAATATGGCAGCACTGGGGGAAACTGGGTGGGAGGTACCCAGGAGCTCTATCATCTTTGCGACTTTTCTATAAATCTAAAATTATTTTAGTATAAAAAGTTTATTAAACTTTTTTTTTTTTTTTTTTAACTTCAGTGAAACCTGTCAAATTGCATCAGCAAAATTGTGTCTGAGAAAGTTAAAGCTCACTCCCTTCCCTCTTCTCATCTTGGTTTAGGTCGAAGAATTCCATCCACTGACGCCAACCCGCCATCTGGCGGTAAGGGCTTCAAACTCCGAAGACAGCCTTCAGAGCCAAAGCGGAGCTGCTGCTGACCGAACCTCAGCCCCTCAGACTTGATGATGAAGTAGGTGGTCCTGAAAGTTAACGGGAGGACTGGGGTCCCTACCACCAGTTTTCACCTAGCCAGTCTTGAGTCTTCTCCGTACAAAAAGGATTCACAGAAATTGACCAGTTCTGTTCTCCAGAGACTGCAGCAATGATATTTTAGTCTGTGAACTTCTATTATGTAAAGAATCTCTAATGTACAAAGGGACTACATCATTGGCTTTTGACCTTGCTGAAAAGGAACATATAACTTTATGGATGGTAGGATTAAGTTGTTGAGTAGTTTTGTAATCAAGATTTTATGTAACATTTGTAAAGGGAAAATTAGCACTTTCGTGGTTCTTAAGGGAAAAAAAAGACCTTGTGGAGATTATAATTTCCTTCGTTTCTGTTACCACTGTTAGAGGGAGTTGTATCATTTAAAATATAGTGGGATAGTTTAAGTGGAGGGAGGACAATTATTATCTGAAGCTAAAATGGGTTATTTATAGGACTGATGGAAATGATTTCATTTCTGCCATCTCTAAAGCACTTTTCATTGAACATGTTAGCCTAGGATACGTACAGTAAATTAACAATGATAGCAGCAGATGCCTAGCTCACCCTGGGTTTCCTTCTGACCTTGTCATGGTGTGTGCCACCAAACACGTTATTGGCACCTTTTTAAATAAGCTCTCATGATCAAGATGGTGATGGTAGAGAAGCTGCCCAGAATAAATTGAATTTCATATGTTCTGAACTGACTAGCAATGGTTTAAAAAGAAAGAAAAGAGGAAGTGAAGAAGGTGGTGTAAATGCTGTCAATTATTTTTTAACCCAAGTATTTTGGTGGGGAAAAGCAAGTATCTGTTGCTTAGCATAGGTAAAGTTGTAGTCTATATTTATGAGGCCATTGCTTAAAGATTATAAATTATGTAAATACATTAATAAACTCTAAGTTTCATTTGACATTCCATTGAATCTTGCACCCAGTCTTGCATATGCCTGCCCAGTTTTCAGCCTGTTAACGGGAGACTCAGGCACATTGGTGTTGTATAAAGGTATACAGTCTTTAAAGGTTACAGTCTGCCTTCCCTTCTACCCACCCGCCTTCCACCAGATCCCATCTGGAAATGGTAATAAGGACATATGCCACTTTGACAAATCTGACTAGTCCTTACTAGCCTGAGGGTCAAAGATGAAGCTCCAACCCCAAGTCATTTACCTGGTCTTGGTAATAAGTTTCTTTTAGCTTGTACAGCATCCTCAGACCAACTGAGGAGCTTTCCTTGTTAACAATTTAGCTTATCTTTTTGTTTCCTTTATTTTTGCCTGCCTCTGTTAGTGGTTAACACTCTTTCCCCTCAGGGAGCCTAATGAGGTTTTTAATATAATCTAAAAATAAAGCATTGAAGTGAAGTTGGTGAAAATTTGTTCCTGGTCTAATTTGGCACCCTTCCAACCTGAGTATTGTAGGGGAAGGAAATTTACAAGATTTAATAGGAAATGAAACAGCTTGAATTTCAAACTAAATTGTATTTTCAGAGCTATCCTTAAACTGAACAGCTGAAACTTTAAAAAATAATTGTTATTATTTTGTGCCCCCCACTTAATATGGATAGATTTTAATGGGAAGATTATAATTCAGATTAAGTAAAAAACAATTCCCTTTTCCCTGTTGTATATCTTAAGAATTTGGAATTTTTTTTTTATCTTCTGAAATCATATAGAAAGAATGTCGTTAGTAAAAATTCTAACTTCGTTTTGTTTAAAAGACACGTGGATGCTCCATCCCCCTAGGATTTTGCTTCCTCCCCAGTGCTAAATTAGCAAGCTCCTAGAGAAGCCATGTGATTCCCAGGGCCAGGCGCTTTACAACTGAAAGTAGTTTGACTTTCTTCTGTATACATCCAGATGGATCCCAGGCATCTGGGCACCGCCCTAGTATGTCCCTAGAATTCCCACTGCTGGGCCTCTATCTCCATGACAACAAAATAAAAACAGGTTGCTTGACTCATTACCGAAGAGGCAAAGCATGTGCGACCCTTTCTGTCTTATTTTACCAAAAGATGGTGCAAATCTATGACCTTCACATTTTTTCCACCAAACCCAGCAGTGGCCGTTGGTGCTTGTGTGGTGTCTCGGTGCATGGGGAAAGGCAAGGTCTGCTGAGCTCATCTTAACTGCTGAGGCGTCTGGATGTCTCTGATATTACTGTGATGTTTTACTGTACCAAGCCCAATGTGGGTCCATCTCATCAGCCCTTTGCTGATTTCATGATTTCTCACACTCCCTCCCATATGTAGGGTGTGATTCTGTTTTATTGTAGCCACATTTTATTAACAGAATGAGTGATACGAAGCTTGTACTTAATGTATTTTTCGGGCCTCTTCTCTCATTTTCATCAGTCTGTCTAAGAAGTTGACTCAGCACTGTTTCTCATGTAATATCCTTTTAATGCTTAGCAACAACAATAAGAAAAAATTGCTGTCTCAGATCCGTAATCCATACTCCGTGAAAGCAGGAAAAAAATGTTTTTACTTATTTCATTTGCTTCTAAAATGCAAAGATGAATATTAAAGTCAGAAGCAGTATTTTATTTTGAGCACATTTTGGATTATTAACCTGACTAAGCAATGATCTAGTACACATTTCATATTTTCTTTATAATAATTTATTATGGAGAAGAGGCTAGATTTCAAAGGAATTGAGACATATGCCCATCTATAAACATTTTTTGGTTTTCTTACGATACAGGGCCATTTTTTAAAACTCTCAGGACTGAACAGAAGAGAAAAATTATTAATTAGCTGCTACTTTATGTTGATTCTTTTCAGAGAAATTGAAATAAGCTCTTTGCAGGTGTCCAATCCTAGAAACCAATGGTCTCCAGAACTCTCCTTTCACACAAGTGTTTTTCTGATTCTATGATAACTAATTAACTATCATCTGGTGATTAAAAGAACATAAAGTAAGATTATGATTAAGCGTCCGTCACCTGCTTGTCAGCCTCAGTCAGGATACGTTTTACACGAAGCAGCTGAAAGATTTAGTTCTTTTCAAAGTAATTTATTTTCTTGTGACCGTTTATGATGTTGTTTGAAGTGCCTGTTTCCCGTTGTGCACACACTTTCTGGATGTCTGAAAGGATCAGGACTTTTGTGTTAGAGGCTTGCCTCCTCTCTGTGGGCTGGTGTCCTTCTTGAAGTTATCAATTCCTCTTATTCTTGAATATCTAAAGGGAAAGGAAACCACCTTTAATTTTCAAAACTTCTCTTTAAGTCTTGTATGTATTTCTTTTCTGTTCTCAAGGAGGAAAATTGGTCTAGGAGGCCTTCCAAATTAAACTCTGGGAAATATAGTAATGAAAATATCCTTTAGCTAACTTTCCTGTAACTGTCAAAACAAAATGTCAGTATTTGTAGGGCACTGTGTTAAAATAAGGGGTTTAGATTCCAATGACACTGCACTAATTGGCATGTCAGCCTCCAGCTCAGAATGGCATTTGCTCATGGTTACAGGCATCTTTTAGATTCTAAGAGTGAGTTACAGAATTCGTTTTGGTACTTTCACTTATTCTTTCAGAATACATCAAGGACGTGATTCATGGGCCCTTAAGAGTATAAGATATAGTTGCACAGTATGTTGCTTAAGTAGCAGATGAGCCCCCCTAAACATCCACATGTCTCTGCAGGAACCTGTGTAAGTATTGCGAAAACCCTTTTCTTCCAGGGAAAAATTACTGGAAATTCCTTAACTGAGGTATACTCGGTACTCGCTCTAGAACATTTGGGAAATGACAGCGCACAAACTCAGGCTGGCTCTCCCCTCTAACCTCACTGGGCTATAAATGTTCCTTCTAACTCTGTAATGAAAGTTAAATGACAATGACAAACTAGATAGCGAACCTGTAAAAGTCATTATTTACATTTGTTTTAAAGGGACAGTTTTACCGTTTGACTTCAAGAGATTTTCTACCTCTTAACAGTTAATATTTTTTAAAGGAAGAAATGGAATGTACCTTCAGGGGTCAAGCTGTTAACTATATACCTGCCTCCAGTTAGCTTGGTTTATCAAAAGGATTTTTAAATGATTCAAGATGATGTTTAGGATATTTGTTTTAACTCCTGCTGTGCTATGATTTTAAAAAAATAGTCTAAGAAACAAATTTATCCATGAGATAAACATTATATTTTATAGTTTTAGAAAAAAGAGCTGGGGGTGGAATTTAGCCTAGAACTTAAAGAAACAACCTCTGCCAATTTCTCTTGACAGTGGAGTTGCTTGTCTTGACTTCTAATAATAGAAATCCAGGCAATTTGATTATCCGGTTTGCAAGAAACTTTAATGGAATTCTGGGGCATTTGTCCTGTTTTATGTGCAAATGAAAGTCTAAAAAATATTAGGATATTACATTTTTCAGGAGCCTCCATTTTTTCAGTCTAAGAGAACGATAAGTGAGAGACCGATTGTGATGAAGTTTCATTAGACATAATGTGGAAAGTGAATAAATAGAACCAAGAATCTTCATATTTCTGTCTTTCAGGATTCTCTTAGCATATAGGAAAATGATTTACTTTCCAAATCTAGGACTTCCAGTAGCATAGATCAAGTTTAATTTGATGGTCTGTACCGTCACAAATAACTAATATCTGTTTTCTTTCCTTTTAGAGTATAATCAATTATTGACAGGCCAGAAAATTTTTGGCTTCAAAAGGATTCATAAGCTTAAAAAAAATAAAAATTCCCAAACCTTCCGTCTATTCCTTTTATTACGTTGAACATTTTACATAGTAAGAGTAAGATGTATCATTAGTAGATGGTGAAATTAAAATCATGGTGTCTAACAGATTTAACAAAAAATGTTTAATTTACTACAAGTTCATTTTCAGATCTGTATGGTGCCCAGTGCTCCACAAAATGCATGATAATTGCAACAACAAAATTATTTTCATGAACAAGAATTCAAGTGCCAAAGTCCTATCAGCCAATTAAAAGCCATAAGAGAGGAACAATTTTTTTTTTTTCTTTTTTTAGATGGAGGCTCACTCTGTCGCCCAGGCTGGTGTGCAGTGGCGCAATCTCAGCTGACTGCAACCTATGTCTCCTGGGTTCAAGCAATTCTCCTGCCTCAGCCTCCTGAGTAGCTGGGATTACAGGCGTGCACCACCACACCCAGCTAATTTTTGTATTTTTAGTAGAGACAGGGTTTCACCATGTTGGCCAGGCTGGTCTCAAACTCCTGACCTCAGGTGATCCACTCGCCTCGGCTTCCCAATGTTCTGGGATTACAGACATGAGCCACCACGCCCAACTAGTAATGATTTTTTTAAAGGGCTTTTCTTAATTGACAGTTGTAAGTTGTAGACATTAATAATCTAACAAACAAAACATGCCAGTTTTACTGATTCCAGTTTTTGCTGGATTGAGGAACTTTTCATTATTTAGGGAAACTTTTGAATGTAGTACTGTGGAGGAAATCATCCTTAAAATAGCATTTCACACATAGGGCCAATAATTTTTACTTAGAACTGAAATTGTCAAGGAAACCCCTGCAGCATGTAACGTCGTATTGTAGAAGAGCTGGGCATACCTCTTCCTCTAGGCCAGTTCAGAGGCCACTGGCGGCCCAAGTAGAGTGGGGCCCACTGGCGTGAGCAGTCCCTGTGCCCATGCCCATGGTGGTGCTTGACTTTGCTTTGGGGCTTAATCCTAGTATCATTTGGCCATTAATTTTTAATTAAGTTTATACTTGAATAATCAGTTTTACTCCTGAAAAATTTTGAAGCCAGCACTTGAATTTGTTTATATTCACTTACTTTGTATATGAACTTATGACATTAGAGTTTGTAAAACTACCTTAACGTGGCTCATGCATCTGATGTTAGAGGGACTGGTCAGTTCATTACAGGGCGAATTATTGGCAGCTGGCTAGTCAGAGCAACTGATGGGTGGCTTTTTGTGTGTGTGCGTGAGACGGAGTCTCACTCTGTCACCCAGGCTGGAGTTCAGTGGCGCGATCTCGGCTCACTACAACCTCCGCCTCCCGGGTTCAAGCAATTCTTCTGCCTCAGCCTCCTGAACAGCTAGGATTACAGGCGCCTGCCACCACGCCTGGCTAATATTTTTTGTATTTTTAGTAGAGACAGGGTTCCACCATGTTGGTCAGACTAGTCTGGAACTCCTGACCTCATGATCCGCCTGTATCGGCCTCCCAAAGTGCTGGGATTACAGGCATGAGTGGTGGCTCCATTTTTAAACCATTTGTTATCCTATGTAGACAGAGCTTTATTGCCCTGGAAAAGATTTTTTTTTTTTTTTTAACTCTCATGCAGTTCAGTCTTTTCATCATTTCACTTTGTGAGTCACTCACATAATTGTCAATCATCCCTCTGACCTTTTTAAGAATTTACATCTTACCATCTCTGATTGAAGCAGCCTTCTCGCTTTATTTCCTTTATGTTCATTTTCCTGTGGGCTCTCCCTTAGAGACACACGGCCGCAGCCACCTCCTCCACATATGTAATACGCCTTCCCCTGCGGCCTTCCGTGGCCACAGCAACAGGGGCTGCTCAACCGCTCCAGCTGGGCTTTTTTAACAAGCACTGTCAGAAATGCACAGGCCCGGGGTGGGGGATGAACAGAAGTTGATTAGTGGGCACAGAAATACAGTTAGATAGAAGGAATAGTTGGAGCATTCGATATTACAGTAGGGAGACTGCATCTAACAATAATTGATTGTGTATTTGAAAATAGCTAGAAGAATCAGAATATTCCCAGAACAAAGAAAAGATAAGCGAGGTGAAGGAAATCCCAGTTACCCTCATTCAGTCCATTACACATTCCATACAGGTCTCAAAATATCACAGGGACCTCAAAGACATGTACAGTTGTTAGTTTAACATTTTTGAAAGAAAAGAAAACCGGCCAGAGCATTAAAACAAATAAAATAAGAAACACAAAGACCAGTGTTAGGTGAAGAACTCCAGTGCTTCAGAAAGAGAATAGCAGCACTCCCTTACCCTGGGAACACGGCCAGTTGACAAAATGGGTTTTGGTTTTTTTGTTTTGTTTTGTTTTACCATTGGTAATAAGATAGTTAACATAAGTGGTCAGAACTTCGCTGAATTTGTAATAAAGCATTTGTTAAGCGTGTAGAAGTCTAAATCAAAAGTCTTGAAGAAAAACAGCTATAGCAATGAGCCTGGACATTTTTCAAAAAAAAAGAAAAAAGAAAGCTAAGCCGTCCTACCAGCAGTCTCTTGCTCCTAAGAATGTCATGCCTTTTCAAGACCTGATGCAAGGAATAAGATATTTGTGCCTTTTTATAATAGCATCTATTATGAAAGTAAAATTCAGTTGCTTACAGTTTGGCCGCTTTGTAGCACTATTATAAACAGCCCAAATGTATGGTCTTGGCCGTACTGCATGACACATGGCCTGGTCACCTGTAATGGAATATGCTGCAGTGGTGGTTTGCCAAGCTTCTGTGGATGTCTGAAGACTTTATTTTTGCAGTCTTAACCTTGGGCTGGACCTAAGTGTATATAAACCATGTGATGTCTGTATTGTTTATAGATGCTGACAAAAGAAAACTAGACCTTTTGTTTTTTGTTGTAAGATTTTTGTTTTCATACCTATGCTCATAGGAGATAGTTTGCAAATGAAAGTTGATTTGCCATACTTTTAAATAATATTGTTTTAGCTTGAATATTCTATAATACACTTTTATAGAGTATAACATGCTAAATCACTGTTTTGTTGTAAGAAAGGTGTAAACATTTTGTTAATAAAATGCTATGTTTACAAATATATATATATTTGCCTCCCAAATGGTTTCTCTTTGTGATATTACTCATGATATGTTCTTCTTAACCAAATATTCTGAAGTCGTTTTTAAATGATCTTTGGATACTGAAATACCAGAATTTTGACAGCTGTAGTGTCTGGTGAGCAGCAAGTTATTTGTACCAAGGTATCTGAAGCTTCCCAGCTTCCCATATCCTTATCTTATACAACTCCTCCCTCTCCTTGCTCTTCAGTAGTTAAGATGGGGGTTCTAGAAGCAGGTCAGCAAGGCCACCAGTGAGCATTTAGAGGGAAGTTTGCTGCCCCTGGAAGAAAGGAACAGTGTGGTACCCTAGATCATAGAAGAAAAGGTCTTCCCTTGTCTTCCATTATTTTGGGGATTTCATCAAAGATGCTAGTCTTTCCATCCAGTGCTGACTTGAACCCTGCACCCCCAGTACCGTTCATTGCCAGCAGAAGCACTGGCTCACACACATCCGTGTTCTCTTTGCTGTTCCTCTTAGGTAGAAGCACATTTGCCTGTACAGTGTAGTTGTGCCAAAGAGTACCTTACCTACAAGTTCAAGTGAGGGAACCAGAGAGGGCTTGAGACAAACAGGCTTGGATTTGAGTCTCATCAGAGCATCTTTTCAGGCTTTGTGGCCCTAGACAAGGCCCTTAACTTCTCTAACCTGTGTTTCCTTTATCTTCACAAAGGGAAGATAATAAGAGCTTATCACATGTGGCTGTTTTGGTGGGATACCTATAGCTGTCAAATATTTAACACAGCATTAACAAAGCATAAACATCTCACATAATTTTTTTTTGTAAGCTGTCTCCCTGATAATCATTTTCTGATTCAGTTAAAATAACTTTGCTATAAGTCTGGTGGTTTGCTGTTTTGTTTTTTCCATGTTTTTAAGTATAAAACCTACAAAAAATGCCATGAATCTTGGGTATAGCTCAATTAAATTTCACAGAGGTTACCCACATAACCAGCCCTCAGATCACACAGTGGGACATCTGCCACACTTCAGATGCCCCACCTTGTGCTCCTTCTCTAACATCACTGATGAGTTTTATCTGGTTTCAACTTTATATACATACCATATGGTTCCATGGATCTGGCTTCTTTCACCCAACATGGTATGTTGTATATTCTCATTCATTCTTACTGCTATGTAGGATTCCACTGTGTGAATAAACCACCATTTATTTATCTAGTCTATATTGATAGGCATTGGATTATTTCCAGATTTTTGCCATTAAGAATGTACCACAATGAACCCTACATACATCTTTGGTATAAAGGCTTGTACATGTTTCTCTTGGTCATGTGCCTGGGAGTGGAATTACTGGGTCATGAGAAATACACGCATACACACACATTCTCAATATGTATTTGTTTTTGCTTTTGTAGATAGTTTTCTAAAATGGTGTATCTGGCTGGGTGTGGTGGCTCATGCCTGTAATCCCAACATTTTGGGAGGCCGAGGTGGATAGATCACTTGAGGTCAGGAGTTTGAGACCAGCGTGACCAACGTGGCAAAACCCCAACTCCACTAAAAATATAAAAATTAGCCAAGCATGGTGGCAGGCTCCTGTAATCCCAGGTATTTGGGAGGCTGAGGCAGGAGAATCACTCGAACCCAGGAGGCGGAGGTTGCAGTGAGCCGAGATCACACCATTGCACTCCAGCCTGGGCAACAAGAGTGAAACTCTATCTCAAAAAATAAAAATAAAGTGGTGTATCAATATAACTCCCCCCAGCACTGTGCAAGAATTGTAGTTGTACAGCATCCTTGCTAACACTTGATATTATTCTTTTCTGCTCTTAAAAAGTCTGGAAATCTGTGGTGCAAGCTGTTAACAGAACTTACCTCTGAGAAGAGAGGCTTGGCCCACAGAACTGTCGCCTGGTTTTCACTTTCTCCTGTATACATACTTCTGTACTTTTAAAATTTTTTACCATGAGTGTGTGTGGATTTTATCTTTTTTTTGAGATGGAATCTCACTCTGTCACCCAGGCTGGAGTGCAGTGGCATGATCTCGGCTCACTGCAAGCTCCGCCTCCCGGGTTCACACCATTCTCCTGCCTCAGCCTCCCGAGTAGCTGGGACGACAGGCGCCCGCCACCATGCCCAGCTAATTTTTTGTATTTTTAGTAGAGACGGGGTTTCACCGTGTTAGCCAGGATGATCTCGATCTCCTGACCTCGTGATCCACCCACCTCAGCCTCCCAAAGTGCTGGGATTACAGGCGTGAGCCACTGCACCCAGCCGAATTTTTTCATATTTAAAAAAAAAAAAAAAAAAATCAGGAACTCTTGCACTCTAATCCTGTCTTCAAATCCTAATGAACATTGGCTCAATAGATACACTGAAGTTGCATTTGTCTTATTTTTCTCTTTTAAACACACACACACACACACACACACACACACACACCCTATTCAGCTTGGTCAGTAAAAACCTTAGAGCCAGATTTGGGGCAAGTGTAAAACTTGATAGCACACATTCATTTCATTCTGAAATTTAATATGTATCTTTTCAAGCTGCCCTAAATCCTCTTGGACAACGGGGGATGGAGGGAGCATAAATAATACCTGTTAAGAAGGAGAATATCCAGGTGCCTCCCACTTGGGAAAAAAGAGGAGAATATTAATCTACACCCGGTCAAGATAGTACTATGGCAGAAGCCAGTCCCATTTGTTATTGCCAAGAAAAAGGGAATCACGACACCAAAAAGGAAGACACAAATTAGCATACACCCAAAACAAACAGGGATGTTGTAAATGCATACACAAAACAGCCTTGCTTTATTTTTCTTTTTTTTTTTTTTTTTTTTTTGAGACGGAGTCTCGCTGTGTCTCCCAGGCTGGAGTGCAGTGGCGTGATCTTGGCTCACTGCAAGCTCCGCCTCCCGGGTTCACGCCATTCTCCCGCCTCAGCCTCCCAGGTAGCTGAGACTACAGGCGCCCGCCACCACGCCCGGCTAGTTTTTTGTATTTTTAGTAGAGACGGGGTTTCACCATGTTAGCCAGGATAGTCTCGATCTCCTGACCTCGTGATCCACCCGCCTCGGCCTCCCAAAGTGCTGGGATTACAGGCTTGAGCCACCGCGCCCGGCCCTTGCTTTATTTTTCTACAAGCATCTAGCTGCTTGCCTTGGAGCATATAAGAACTAAATTATGGACCTAGATTTCTAAGTAACTTCAAAGTTTACTGCAGATTTTTTTTTCCATTAGAATTTAAGAGGCAGATTTCCATTGAGATGGTAAACTATAAAACACAGAGCCTTTTAAATCTGTCAGTTGTTTGGCTTGTAATAATACTGGCCAAAAACATGTTCTCCACTAAATGTCAGTGTTGGTTGGGAAGCCAAGCCTCATCAGCCTTTTAGAATTTACCCACCGGGAGTGTTACTGCTTTTCATTATAACACCAGTGGAGCTTGCAAGAGAGAAGAAGGGAAAAAAAGAAAGCTTTCGGCTAGCACCTGGTCAAAATGAATCACTTTGTTAATTATGATCTTAATCAGGCCTCTTTTTGCCTTTTTTTTTTTTTTAATTTTAAACACAACTTTTCAGCATCTTCCAGTACACAGTCTAAAAATCCAGAGACCACATTTTGAGAAATGTGCTTGAAGATAATAGAACCTCGGATACTGCTGTTAGAGGGGTGGGAACAGAACAAGGGGGTCAGATTTCTCTTTATTAATATTCAGCCCAGAATGAACCTTCAGGCCTCTGTTAAATAAAATATATGGAAAATATAACGGGAAAGCTGCAAGGTTCCACTCCGTTTGAAAAGGGCATTTTTAAGAAGAAAGTTGTGGGATTGTGAATGTAAATTAGAGGCGAATGTACAGCGTTGGGGCATGGAATATGCTCCAGTGGTATACTATCATCAGCATTAAAATTGCCATCAGCCGCTCAAGTGATAAGGTCAAGTCATATCTTGTTTGCATATAAATGAGAACACACAACAGTTAAAACACACACACAAATAAACATGACAACAGACTGGGCTGGGTGACGACGTGAAAGCTCTCTACCAGCTGGGCGGTTTGCTATCTGAGTCAGTCCTTAATATCCAGGCCCTTGAATCATGAACTATCCCAAGAGTGTTTTGCCTGCTTAGATTTATTTTTATATTTCCTATTTCCAAGATGATAAACCTCTTATTAGAGAATTGAGATCCCTGTGGGTTTCTTTCCCTGTTCTTAAATTACTTCTTCTGAAGGTAATAGGAGAAGGCAGTGTTGGTGGCCAAGTGGCAGGTGTTTGTTGGTTGGTTTGTTTGTTTTGAGATAGAATCTCACTCTGTCGCCCAGGCTCGAATGCAGTGGCATGATCTCAGCTCACTGCAAGCTCCGCCTCCTGGGTTCATGCCATTCTCCTGCCTGTAGCTGGGACTACAGGCGCCCACCACCATGCCCGGCTAATTTTTTTGTATTTTTAGTAGAGTCGGGGTTTCCCTGTGTTAACCAGGATGGTCTTGATCTCCTGACCTCGTGATCCACCCGCCTCGGCCTCCAAAGTGCTGGGATTACAGGCGTGAGCCACCGCGCCCGGCCTCAAGTGGCGGTTTTTATAAGCGACCTGTGAACGACCTTGTGGGTGCTGAAAGGACAGCAAGTTTTGAAGCCTCTTACAGTACATGTATGAAGATGATTATTGTGTATATCAAAGTCTCCCCCCCCAAAAAAAAACAGCCACCTGATCGAAGGAAGAACCCAGCCAATATGGAAAGGAAAAAAAAGAAAACTTTACAAGCTCTTCAGCATTCGATGTAGTGGAGGGATGTGCCAGTTTAAGTTTAAATCCAGAAATTGTGAAGAGAACATTTCAAGAAGTGGAATAAAATTGGACTTACTGGGGATGGTTTCTGGAATGAATGACGGGTGGCGTTATTTATCAAAAGGGGCTTCAAGGCCAGATGGGGACATTCCTCAGTCTTTTGCTGAGTCAGTGAATGTACTTAAACTTTGCCTACCTCTTCTGTGAGTTGGTGTGTGATTTTACA